ATAGCCCATTGTGTAGCTTTGTGCTTAACTTCCATACAAACAAACAGTAATATTATTGTTCCAGAGCCTGTACGGAGTTCATCTCTTTTCTTTCTTTCAGTAACACTGTTGTTCAGAAACCTGTATGGAGTTCATCTCTTTTCTTTCTTTCTTTCAGTAACACTGTTGTTCAGGAACCTGTACAGAGTTCATTTCTTTTCTTTCTTTCAGTAACACTGTTGTTCAGAAACCTGTACAGAGTTCACCTCTTTTCTTTCTTTTCAGTAACACTGTTGTTCAGAAACCTGTACAGAGTTCATTTCTTTTCTTTCTTTCAGTAACACTGTTGTTCAGAAACCTGTACAGAGTTCACTTCTTTTCTTTCTTTTAGTACATTTGGCTATACGCAATATTTTCCTACACAACGATATTTTGAGACAACAATTTTGTATCATATTATAATTTTGTTTTTATATCATTTTTGAAAGGCAATCTAAGTGACTAGAATGAATATTTATATCCCTGTGTGCATTTGATCCTGCTTTAAAAACCTCTTTATCACAATTCGTAGGAACTGCCTTGCATAAATGATTGGCAACTTAAACCTAAGAAGTTCCTAGCTTGAGCACTTCTAATTATTCGTAATTCTAAATGTGTGATTGCATTCTAAGTGCAAGGCTTGTAAACACGGGTTAAATCTGCTGTATAGTGTATTTCCCAAACCATCGTCTTTGTCCTACTTTTCTGGATACCTCAAACAATAAGATACATTTTATTTTCCCTGTCCACGAAGTCAAATATCTTTTTGATGGGAAACAAGAAGGGAAATTAAAATAACATATAACAATCTAGCCTTGAATAAGTAGAAACACTGACTCTATAACGATTATAAATCTACAAAGACTGACGTTACAGTGACTTTAATTATCATAATTTATCAAGGGGGACACTGTAGTGCCTTCCTTCATCATAATCCAGCTCTAGCGAGCGAAGTGAGGCAGAGCTGAGTATAAAAATTGAGGTACAGATGTTCTTCACATATGCTCTAAACATAATAAGCCAAACCGGTGTAGTAACTATTTAATACAAAGGAAAACTTTCTGCCTGTCTGTCTGTGGACGCATCTCCTTCTAAACGAATAGACCGATCCAGATCAAAATTGGCATGCTAACTTAGTAGTCCAAAAATCAGACCAAATTCGTTTTAAATTTCCCGATATATCGAAATATATATATTTTGTAGAATAACCTTTATATCATTACTGTAGTAGCTGTTGTAAATAGTTTAGTTTGGACTAAACTCACACCACAACAACATTCTGCAAGTCAAAGATTGTAAGTAAAATTTTCAGAAGTTCCCATAATATCCTAATAAATAGTAATAAAATCTCCAGCTACAATGCGGAGAATAAAGATATTCCTGTTGTTTAAGCTCCCGCTCTTTTCTGATTCACGTCATTTAACTTCCGGTTTATACTAAGGTTAGAATAAGCGCTTAAGCTTGAATTAAACAAGTATTTTATAATGAAAATAATTTTACGATATTTCTTACTTCTTCATGTAGAATATAGTTTTCGTTGAACCAAAATTCAAGATTATGATTGAAGTTAATGCATTAAATGTATCAACTTCAGATAGTAAAAGTCTCTACTGTGAAATGGGCTACTTTGAACAAGAAGTGACGCAACTGCTTTGCCATTTCTGCCATGTTTCTCGACTCGACTTTTACACTTCCTCACTTCCGATCCACTTCCCCTGTTTTTCAACAATTTTCTTGGGGAATGAACGCTACTGAAAATCTTCGCAAATATTTTGCTCATTTTTAGCAAATTTGTGCGTGTTTTTCACGTTTTCAAGAGAGAAAAAGCAGGAGGAGCGCAAAACTTGTGAGGTAAGGCATTTAAAGAATATCATATGAGCTTCAAAAAAGAAAGCCCATTAGGGACTGATAGTTCACTTTTTCTTGTAGACTTTCACCGGATCTGTTGGGCTTTCGTCAAGGACAGAGCTGGATATTCAATCTACCAATCAAAAATTAGTGAAGTTACACATTTACTTAATCTGTTAAGGAGGGCACAGTAGTGACTTTCAGATACCACAATTCTTAAACACGTTTGCCGCATATAACTTTTTACATATTATTATCATAAATACTGTTTTCTATCTCTTGTCATACTATCATTAATACGATGGCATGATAAATTCTAAGTGGAACTGAAAAAGTATCAGATACTATATCTTATCGTTTAAAGTAACTTTCTATTGTAGCTATTATTACCATGATGACCTCTACTTTGGAAAAATCTGTGATTGTTGCTCATATAACAATTCAGAATAATAACTTTATATTGAAAATATGTGTTTAGTAAACTTCATATCAAAAATGACAAAATCATACTTTTGAGCACGAGGATTTCTGAGCTCTGGTTAGTTTTCGCAATAGTGAAAAAAGAAATCCAACTATCTTTCCCCACTTTTCGACTGCTTTAACACCAGAATATATATACATCGTCTAGTTGCTCTAGTAAACTCCAAGTAACATAAACTGTTAAGTAAATTGTTTGTGCTTCTAAACAGGTTAGTTTGGGCTGATTTGAATATGTATTTTAGTTTGTTTATTTATTTTTTTGAATTTCGCGCAAAGCTACACGAGGGCTATCTGCGCTAGCCGTCCCTAATTTAGCAGTGTAAGACAAGTCTTCACCGCCAACTCTTAGGCTACTTTTTTACCAACGAATAGTGGGATTGACTGTCACATTATAATGCCCCCACGGCTGAAAAGGCGAGGAAGTTTGGTGGGACCGCGACCCCTACATTGCGAGTCGAGCACCCTAACCACCTGGCCATGCCGGGCGTGTATTTTAGTACTATTATCTATTTAGTTTAAAAAATGAACATTAATTAATCAACTTTTATTTCGTATGTGCATTTATTTCTATGAACATTTATTGTATTTTAAACGCAGTAATCATATGAAATTACGTTTTACATTATTAGTATGTATGTATGTATGTATAGGTCGAATTAAACATGTTAAGTGCATACATAATAATACAATAATGCTATAGAAGATGTTGGTAATAAACTTTGTATGTTCTATTTTTTTATACGGGCCCGGGCAATCTGCGGGTCGCGGGTTCGAATCCCTGTCACACCAAACATGCTCGCCCTTTCAGCCATGGGGGCGTTATAATGTGACGGTCAATCCCACTATTCGTTGGTAAAAGAGTAGCCCAAGACTAGCTGCCTTTCCTCTAGTCTTACACTGCTAACTTGAGTATGTCTAACGCAGATAACCCTCGTGTAGCTTTGCGCGAAATTCAAACAAACAATAAACTATTTATTTATATTTTTTCAGCCATCACAAGACAAAATCTCACTTCTTCTTTCGTTCGTGATGATAATGATGAGACGAAGCATTTAACTAAGAAAAAGGAAGAAAACAAATCACTAAAACTTTCGTAAAGAGAAGATACCGAGAATTCGTAGTAAACAACAAGAATAAACAGGAAGAAAATTATAAACGTAAAACCGTATTACGCTAAGTCAGAATGTAATTAGACAACAGCACCAGTCGCTAACTACTGGGTTACTATAATAAAATAGTGGAATTTGACCGCCATACTATAACCCACCCATAGCCCCACAGTCCGGAGGGTGATAGATCACATTTGGTGATAGATCATAGAATCTGGGCGCTTCATACTTTATAATATAAAAATAAACTGGTTGCTTATGAAGTTGACTATTGTACTCAAGTAAGTATCATATATTTATATTATCAACAATGAACCAATCGTTTGATGCACAGTTGAAAATGTAGTTGTCCACTTGAGAGTTATTATTTGAATAAGCTGCAAAACAACCTTTGCAATATTGATACAAATGTGCATGGACATTGAAGATTGTTTTCGTATCAACTATCTGAGTGCCTTAATCAGTATTCAATTTTAACTAACAATGTAAAAATGCAACTAAATTTGAATTGTAGTTAGATCAAGATAGACTACATCCTTGAATAACAGGCTAGAAAATTAAATGTTAAACACTGTATTATGGTTGAAAATTAAGCAGATACTTACAAAAATCAATTTGGGGGGGGGGATTCTTTTTCCTCAAACAGTAGGTAAGTCGTGTTAATGAGTGTCTAAAAGCAAAGTAATTGTATAATAATGACGTTTAAACAATTGATACGTTTGTTTAAACTTTTAGTACGTTGTTTTCAAAATATTTGTGTTATGAATCTAAAGTACATACCAATTTTAAATGAAACATCATACACTTTTACTTTGTAACTAAGTAAAAAAAACAATATCTTGTTTTAAAAGGATTTTACAAAGTGCTTGGCCAATATTAGGTATCCCTTTCATAGAGTCTCTTAGTTGTATGAATCTTTGTTATAATACAACTTTATAATGATCAAAGAAAATAGGCAAGTCTGATGTTAGATTTAAAAAAAGAGGCCAGTGAATCCTCCTGAACAAGTGTATGTACCCCTTCAACCTAAAGCACTGGACCA